TCTCCTGAAACTTTGGCTTATGTTATTTTACATTTTTTATCATAAAGGGTAAGTCATAAGTGTTGATATGATATCACATTAGCACGTCTGAGATGATAAGAAACTACTTCATATTAAATAGATTGAACCAAGAAACTAAAAATAAAATGCAAGAGAAAATTTTCTATACAAACCAACCCCTTTGCATGACCCTCATCATACATGCATTATTTGTTTTAAATTCCTTATTTCACTTAAGATTACAGCCTGTATGCTCCGCAGATTTTGCAGTTGATTGCACTATCAATGAGGAGCCTCGGGTCCCATGCTTTATTCTACCTTGCTGCTGCCGTTTCTGATTTTTATGTCCCTTGGGAGAGCATGGTAACTAACCTATAACTCACTCAAAATGTCTATCGAAAATTCAGCAACTCATTGAATTTTATATGTATCTGCTACAGAAGCAATCCTGTGAATTCTTAGGAAAATTTTATTTTCAAGAATTAGAAAAATCTACAAAAAAAAAAAATCTAAATATTTAGAAATCTCTTTATTTGAGAATTAGTTAATCGTAAAATCTCCATATTGAATCTCAAGATTGCAATTCAGATAGTTGGATATTTGTATTTTTTTTTAACATGTTATTTAGTACTAAAAACATGCATCCCTTGTGTTGATACTGCCTTAGCTCTTATTATGATTACTAAAACTGAGGGGTATGGTGTTATTTATTTCACGAGATGATCGAGTCAATGTAGGAAGTGCACAAGATCCAATCGAGCTCTGGTCCTCTAGACATGAGACTTGCTCAGGTCCCAAAGATGCTTTCAGTGCTTAGAAAAGATTGGGCCCCTACCGCTTTTTGCATATCTTTTAAGGTAAGGTATTTTCACTGATTTAACTTAACTGAGATATAAATTATCTATGTTATCCTATGAATTCGAAACTATGAAAAATGATGCAATAGATGTTCTTGCAAAAGCAAGCTTCTTGAACTTTATATTTTCTTAGTTTCTTTGAATTCCTTCACATAAACATTGATTCTTCTGTTCTCTCTCTCTGGAGGATGTATTTAGTAAAATTCATAATTACTAAAGCCTCCTCAAATCTTTTGGGGGTTTTTTGTTTAAAAAAAAAATTAAATCTTTCAATTAATAAAAAAAAGCATTCCTATGTTATGGAAACATGTAAAGAGAGTAAATCTCAAGATTTTTGCTTTTTTGTTTTAAATTAGATTCCAGCCACGCTCGATTCTCATTTCGTTTTCGTTTTTTTCTTTTCTTATTTTTGCTTGTATGTGACAGCTAGAAACTGATATAAAGATTCTACTAGCGAAAGCTGGGATGGCACTTGAGAAATACAACATGCACATGGTCGTGGCTAACGAGCTGTTGACACGTAAGGAGGAAGTTATTGTCGTTGATAAGAGTGGGAATATCAGAGTTCACAGAGACAAGACTCGGGTGGATGCTGATGTGGAGGAACCGCTCATCAAACTCATAGTCGATAGGCACTCTTCCTATATAAGTTCCGAGCCCTGACTTCAAAATCGGCATTTTTTTTTAGTTGGGTTGGTTTTATTTGGGATAGTCGTTCACGGAAAATGATCCTCCTGTCGAGCTTCTTCTAATTCGTAGAAATGAAAAGCTCCATCTTTTTTACGTTTGTCGGAAAATCGACCAAATAATAATGAACTTCTTTTTGTTTTTGCACTTGTTTTCTTTAATTTATCTCAAGTTCTTTATGTGTGCTTTCACTTGGTTATTGTTTCCTTCTTCGGTCATTTTTCTGTTGGACTGACTCATATACTTTCAACAAATATACATACTTTCACTCAAATGTCCTGAGTATGACAATTCATAGGATAAGTGTGCACTATATTTGCTTCTGGTTTGCAAAAGTGAATTCTCAAGAGGGATAAATGTATGCCAAGAAAAATGCAACCATCAAGGGTGACTATTGTTAACCGAACCAAACCAACTGAAACCGAAATTCATGTTTGGACCAAAAAGTTTCAACTGACCGAATTTTCTGTCGGTTCAGTTCATTTTCGACCGATTGAACACAAGATACAAGGCATTTTCTTTTGATACTAAAACTTGAAACACATATTCATGCCAACATAACTGCATACACAAATTTAACCTAGCAAACCACAAAACATCAATCAATAAGCTTCTCCTCAAGACAAGTGCCTTTCAAAGAGTACAGATACAACAACGATAATGTGGCTTTACAAACAACATGCTAAAAGCAAATCCCTAGCACACAACAAAGACCAAGAACTTGTATCCGTGTTAATTTCGCATAGCTCCTCATTTAATCCAAAGCAATTCTCATTCCTTTCGTGATTATCAGTTAGGGCCACCTTAAATGCTGCCAACTTCCGGGGCTAAGCCATTAGTAATACCTTGTACAGAGTTCAAAAGCCGCATTCCTTCTTCCCCCATTTGCTGAACTTCAGATGGTGATAAAATTCGGATGCATTTCACACACCCCACAAATTCCCTGCACAAACAACTCACATTAGCACGAAAAACTCAGAACACACACAAAAAAAAAAAGGAAAAAAAAAGCGACCAANTCTTTTTTTTTTCCAACAAGAAAAAAGCTCTTTATATATCGAGTAATAATGCATGTGCTCATTTTGTTTTGTTATATTGAGGCCTATAATAGCATTTGTATATATTGGCCATTTTTAACTGCTCAAAGGACTACTTACTCCCAAGGATCATCTCCAACAAGAAGAACATCATTCTCGAAATCCACGTAGACAAGCTTCCATCCGGAACTCAAGTCATTGAGAAGGCCCTCCAGACCAAACATACGCTCGATTTCAGAACGCAACTCGTCGTAATTTCCGAAGCTCGACACATCAATCGACCTCCCAACAGATCCAGCCTTTTGAATCTGTCAAATAATACATAAATTATAAAAAAAAAATCATATACCGTAATCAAGAAGCTTAACATCTGAGAGCAATAAGATTGTATATATTTCAGTATAATGACAAACATTATCTCCCAAAGTTTCACAATGACAAAAAATTCTATCTTCCAAAGTAACATAATGGATATTTTATTTAGACAAAACATCATCAAGAATAGTTAATTTGTCTAGAAAAAGGCAAGAGATAATTTGTGTATTTGAAAGATGACTTTCCTTTTCTTTTCTTTTTTTTTTTGGTTTTTAATTAGAAAATCTCAATTCTCGAATTCTAGACAGAGAACGAGCTTATACCTTAGTGTAAGTTCGAAACCTTGGGGCCACGGGCTTCCACGAGCCATGCTGCAAAATAGTCGCATTATCCTCGAAATCTACATTACTCGAAGAAGCCCCACCCGAGTTGTCTGCATACTCGTGTATCGAGAAATTCTGAGAATCCGCCAGGCTGGCAGTCGTGATCTGAGACTGAACATCCTGATTCGAGCAAAGATTCCCCACGAGATAATCAGACGGGTTCTGAAAATCGACACCCTTAAAATTGCAAAAATCCTCGAAAACCGAGGGGTCGATCACCGTGCTCCCGCTGTTGTTGCTCCCGTCAAGATTCAGACAGCCGCCGTAAATAATGTCCCCATTTTGGTTATTATTATTGTTGTTCTCGATCTGCAGCTCCTCTTTCAGATCACACGAGCTGTAATGGAAGTTGTTGAAAATGTCCTGATTCCCACTGTTGAAATGCGGGTCCCACGGTTCTTGGCCTGACATCAGCAAGGGAGTCACGGGACAGGTGGCAGTGACACCTGGCATTGTGGGCCCGTTCGGGTCGATTTCTTGGGCCTGAATGACGTCACATGCATTGTTCTGTCCCAAGGCAGAAATTTCGGGCTTTTCGGGTGATTTTTCGTCAAACGGGCCGAGGTTGGCGGGCATTCCGGGTAGTAATACTATGCCGGAATTCGCGAAATTAATGTTTTCGCGCTGAAAAAACGTGCTTGGCGGAGTGTAGAGTTCGTGTTGTGGTAAAGCAGCAATTTTGGGCTCGTTTTGCATGGGAGGTTTCATGAGCATTCTCACCAGCTGGTCTGACCACAGGCTCGTTGAATTCGAAGGGCAGTGGATGTTATCTTGAGGGGTATTTTCGGGAATTCGGAGCAAAGGGGGTCGGTTAATCAAAGTCTCCCACTCTGTTTGCCCTCCTGAGATTATTACACAAAACATATCATCAAGATAAAACATATGTGCATGCATGAAGGGAAAAAAAAAAGAAATAAAAAATAAAAAAAATATGTTGTTTGAAGTTACCGATGAAAGCCGAGTGGAAGGGTCGTTTGAGATTAGCGGTTAGAGATGGGAAAATGAAAATGCTTTCGGGTGTCTCGATTTCCCACGGGCTGACCCGGTTTCGCCTGTCAGCGCAACCCGGCTCGTCCCACTCCACCTGCATTTCGAAAAAAAAAATGAATTATGTAAAAATAAATTAGGACTCTAGGATTCTCATATTCTTAGCATAATTCATAAGGGTACTTGTATTGTCACTTGAAAAACAACTGAAAGAAATTCTTTTTCTTCTTAATTCAAAATTTATTCTTAAAATAATTATTTTCCACTGTATAATTGTGCTCAAGTCATCATGCAAGACTACCTGAAGACTACGCCACTTCGAATTAGGCCATCTCAGTGGATCTAAGTCGCTTATGCCGGTGATTGTCCCCATATACCTGCACAATGCAATTGATTAAAGTAAATTCAATTAACAAGCTAAATTCATTAAACCTTTACAAATATGAAACTTTTTTACCTCCTTTTAGTGGATTCTTCGGTTTCAAACATCATACCGAATCTCATACCGATTGAGAGCTGTGTGCTATAAACAGCTTTTTGATATTTGGCAAATGGGACAACAAAGTCTGAGGGACATGCCCTGTAAAAATACAATAATTATGATTACAGGAGAAAATGAAGCCTCATTATGCTTAAGTGGAAAAAAAGGTTAAAAAATATGTCGAAAAATGTCTTTTGCTTGTTTGTGTATCAAAAGCGTATATACATATTTCTAGCTCATCATTATAGTAGAAATGACTACAAGAAGCTGACTTTTTAAAAACAATGAAAAGCCAACATTTTTCGTTTTTTTTTTCTGCCAGAAGCTGAGAATCGCTTATTGCAAGTGTTTCGGGTTCGCGTTATGAACGTATCTTGAAAATACCTTGGATTGTAAAAGATCGTAAATGGGCTTCGACTAGAAGCAGCATGAGCAGCCGCAGCAAGAATTCCTATGTGCATGCTATCGGCAGACAGAACTGAAGACGGCAAAGTTGTTTGCTGGCGGTTAACTCGTCTAACTCCCAACAGAAGTTGTGATTTTTCATCCCTACATTGATTTAAAAAAAAAAAAAAAAAAAAAAAAAAAAAAAAAAAAAAAAAAAAAAAAAANCTGAATGGAGTAAAATTGAAATTTTTTTTTTTTTAAAATATCTGACAAATGAAAAGAACTGATGAAAAATGGAAATTGATAATAAAAAATAAGTTACCTAATAAAAAGGACTGAGTCGCCAGCTCTAAGCCGCTTCGAGCCAACAAACATACTCCAACCCGTTGTGAGCAAGTGCCGCTTGGGCTGCCCTAAATAACGATGAAAAAATTTGACCAAAAAAATTAAATACACATAAAATTGTAATAGCAAAGTTAAATGAAGACATCAATGCATGTTTACCTCTGTATATATGCCGAAAAGTCCAAGTGTTATCATGCAAATCTCGGACGATGAGTTCTTGAGTAGGAGGTTGCATAGAGTAGTCCTAGATAGTCATTACAAGCATTTAATTAAATCGACATAACAGTAATAACTTGATGTTACAAACTAACAACAGAGTTTAATACAGATATACGCTATGTAAAATAATAAGTGCTAAAAATAACCGTACTAATTGTGGGAAGAGCTTTTCCGCAGCTCTTCTAGGAACTGAGAATCCTCCATGTGTACTCGTGTCGCTTGCTGTCAATGTTTTACAGAAAAACTCGGTTGGGTGTTTACTGGGCTTCAGTCCCAGGTCAGGTACAGAGATCATGTCTTTTTCCTGCAAAAAAAAACAATAAAAACGAACTTAAAATAATCCTCTAGCCATATCTTCAAAGGCTTCTTCATGTCCATATGACAGATAGTTAAGTTCTTTAGCATACTTGCTTTTGTCCAGCTTTTCTCAAATCGTGATGTCCTTTATGAATAAGTTTGATTACAAAACATACAACTGAGGTTGAGTCTAGATACTGATATACCAACAACAATTGTAATAACAATAACACAGTTAGCTTCAGAAAGTACAAATACCCCTCGACTTTTAAGTGGAGTTATGAAAACCTCCATGGAGTGTTTTTTTTTTTAGTGGAGTTTTTTTTTTGGACTTACCGAATTCACAGGCTGGAGGCTCATTTGAGCATAGATCTCATCTGTTTCTTTGTCCGCCTATGTATCGGAAGACAATTTAAAATCATTAAACAAGCTGAGCAACTTACTCGAGACAATACAAATATTCTGCTTAAAAATTAAATTATGTAAACATATGTACAATATATTGTTGGGAAGAACATACATGAAGAGTAACATTGTGAACTTGGCACAGCAACTGAGGGGAGAGATTCGGATAGTTTGGTATTTGGGCAGTTGCTGTTCGATTAGTTGAAACCGCAACCTGTTCCAAACAAACGAGGAATAGAGGTACAACTATTTAATTAATTCATTGTTCACATTCTTTCAGAGTATTTCCAAAAATCAATTTCACAACATTCCAGTCAGAATGAGTCCTCACAGCTTTAAACTTTCAACTAGTGAGAAAAAATGAACTCATAACTAGAATGTAAACAGCATTTTCTCCAACACGATTCAGGACATGCATTGCCGAGTATGTAAAAACTCCACTTCAAAGTCACAATAACTTCTCCTCAGAGCACATAAACCGGTTCTTCTGGAAATTAATTTAATGTTGAAAATCCAGTCCCTTATTTTTCGAAACTCTTCTTTTACAAAACATGAACCAATGCAAAGCTTTCCACATTTTTGTGCTACCAATTCCAGAAGATTTGATTCATCCTTTATCAGGAAAAATAAAATAAAATAAAATAAACAAACCTGTTCACTATGTCCTTGTGGAAAATAGTACACAAGGCCTCCAACCTGAGGCAAGCTAACAAGTGGGCCCGCACAAGCATGCCACAGCTCGGAATTTATTTGCTTCCTTACGCCTGATAGCACAAAACAGTTCAAAATTCAACAACATAAAAATAATTAAAAATGATTTTTATATGATCTGCACTGCAATCTCATTGATATCTACAAGCAAGAAAAACGGAGAAAACTGAAACTAACCAGTGTGATCATTCATTTCTTTCAATAACTTGATTCCTTCAAGAACATTATGACCACCAGTGACAAAACCTCCTGGTTTGAGCTTTTCCTCAACAGAAGCCATGTATAATCAAAATCCCCTTGAACAGTACTCCTTAATGTGCTTCAATCTCAAAACATCCTTAAAGCTAAAGATNCCAAAGTAATTTCTACAAGGAACAGAAGAATAAAGCCAAGCAGGACAGTTTTAATTAATTTCAGATATCTATTACTATGAGAGGAACCAATCAAGGAGGGCGTGCCCTAAAGATCCAAAACCAAGGAACAAAAACACACACTGCCAAGAAAAAAGTGAAGAAAAGGATTTGTGTGGGGCTAACAGCAACAACAACAACAAACTATATCAACAGTAACAGTGGCACAAGTTAAAAGATCCTCACCCCCAAAAAGAAAATTTAGAAGAGGGGTCAGTTTATTTTCCATCAAAGCACGCGGACCAAAGCATGGTGGCCGGATTATCGAGTGTTTTTCCCCTTTTCCCCACACCCCTCTATATTATTCTTCTCCAAAAGAAATTGACCTTTCAATGAAGAAGAGAGAGAACAAAAAGGAAAAAGAAAAAGCCCTTTGAGAAAACAAAAAAATTCCTCAACTTTGCCATTGCCTTTTTCTCAAATCAACACAACTCCACCAAAAAGATCAATTTTTTTTTTCTCTTCTCTTTCTTTACATTATTGTTCTTTCACTGTTCTCTGTACTTCTATTTATTTTTTTTGAAATATTTAATGGGAGGGCCTGAGAAGAAACTGGGGAAGAGTGTGCATGCTCCTTTAACCTGCGCACTCACTTGCCGAAAACAAGTCGATTCTGTTGCAGCTTTTTGAGCTGAGAAAATTTTTTAGCTCAAGAAAATGAATAAAGAAGAAAAGAAATGTAGTGCATAGGCATAAAAAAAGGCAGAGCAGTGCTTTTCTCACACGAAACCAGACTTTGCTCATGCTTAGCATAGAATATATGAGTCAGATTTTCAATAAATGCAAATATAAATAAAATATTTACACATATGTGATAGTCATTTTTTTCTTTTTTAATTAATAAATGAATTGGCTCGACTCTCCATATTTAAATAGACGAACGAGTTGAACTTGAATTTTCTAAGTTGAACTTAGTAGTGCGATCGAACAACTCGATTTAAATAACTACTTTATATAAATGAACAGTTAAATCGGAGTTTTCTTAGGTTGAACTGAGTGGTTCAACTGAAGAACTCGATTCAAGTAACTACTTTACATGTGAAGATAAACCACCACAACATTGTGGTATTGTATTATTAAATTTGAGCTTGTTGATTTAGGTGAAAAAAGTAAAATTAAATGAAATGTCATTGTAATATGTGTTAAATGGTACACATCAATAATAAATCATGTGCGCTTAATGTAGCAATTAGTGGACTTTAAGGTGAGCTACCAAGCTATATAGCTACATTTGCTATTTTTGAACCTTAACTAGGCGGGGAGTATTTTGAACAAATTTTACTTTTTTTTTTCTTCCATAAATCATAAATTATTCGAAGTATAAGTTGATTAAAAAAATTATTCGAAGTATAAGTTGATTAAAAAAATATATTTAAAAAATAAAAGATTAAAATTCGTATTTTTATTCTTATTTCAAAGGATACTCATCATCTGTAAGACTCATTTATCCTATAATATAATATTTTTTTAATTTATATGATATAATATATGAATAGATAAATCTATTTAATTAACGAATAACAATAATTTTTTTATTCACCAAGAGTAATTTTATTACTTAACTTTTATTTATAAAAGTGGATAAGTTTTTTTGTCAATATATACAATATGGATGTCAAATATCATAAAAAATAATTAATTCAATATATATACATGTAAAATCGATAACAAATAAAGGTATATTGAATTTTAAGATTACAGCAATTGGGTATTATTTAAGATTAAATGGAAAACATAACAAACTTTTTGTAACTAAAAAATTCGGGTAATCGTGCCGTGCGAACACCGGAAACAAAGTACTAAATAAATACAGCAATGGAGCTGTTGGACAAATATCTGCACCTATTGCTTTTGACCTAATTTTTTCAAAAGATTAGATATTATTATAAATTTAATCAATTTATGTATGGTTTTCTTCACCCCAAATTACGAGACCAAATAAAGTATTTTTTATAGGAAAATGCTTCGTTTTCCCTTTTTTTTTTTTTATTGTTTAACAAATAAATTTAGTGAGGTTTGATAGTTTGATTAGGGATCGGCTGAAGACAAAAGAGAAGCGTATTTTAGCACGTGGATTACGAGGTTTAGCTGCATAAGGATTCGTTTTTTTATATATTTATGTTGGGCTATTCAAGACTAGACTAGACTTTTTGTATGCAAAGTTCACATTATCTTTTCTGAAAACGGTTTGTTATTTGTGGTTTTCGTTAATGTTGAAAAGAAGAAGGATTTGAGATTAATTAGAATCATTCATCATTGCACACAATTTATAGATATTATGAAATTTGTTTAAATGTTAGCAAAATAATATTAAAAATAACAAATTGAAGCTTATTTAAAAGTTTAATCAGTTAAATATGCTAGTTGGTTTATTTGATATACAATCAGTTAATTAAATAATTTATTATAATTCGCTGTCAATTATCTACTAATACATTAACTTTTGGATATCGGTTAATAGCCAAAGCTATGGTTACTCTGTCGTTGAATTTAAGAAGACCCTTTTTCCCCCTTTAAGGATTCATGATACATTTTCATATATCAACAAACCAAATAATTTAGTTATTACTTATTAGATCCCCTTTGTTTTGCACATTTTTAATAACTTTTAGGGTGGCTTTGTGCTTAATTTCCAGGTCAAATTAATTATATTTCATCCAATGTGCATGGTTTTGCCCATGTGCTACTGATTATGCTATTAATTCAGTATGAGTTTGTAGTGTATAGTTATAGAAATAAGCTCGAGTAAGACTAGAAAGTTCGTACATATAGATCCATAATAGAGTTATGATACATTACTATTTATTTATCTATCTCAATTATGTATGGCATGAATCGCATGATGGCTATCGAATTGGTGTATTATTTGACGAATTATTGGTTCATAATGTTTATGTAACTCAAGTTTGATGGTTGAATTCTAACCCTTAAAGTTACAT